CGGAAAGAGGCACTTGGAAACTCGTCCAAATGCCCAAAGGGAGGCATGCCGTTGGCGTCAAGTGGATTTTCAAGATAAAAACAGGGGATAAGGGGCAGCTGGAGAGGTTCAAAGCACGGCTGGTGGCAAAAGGTTACACGCAAGTGGAGGGGATCGACTACACGGAGATATATGCCCCTGTCAGCAAATTGACTACAGCAAGGACACTCTTCAAGATTGTGGCAGCACGCAACTACATCATGGTTCAACTTGACATCAAGAACGCTTTCCTCTACGGAGAACTCCAAGAAGACATCTACATGGATCAGCCTACAGGAATGGAGGACGGGACTGACAGAAAATGCAAACTGCTGAAAGCGCTCTATGGGCTGAAACAAAGCCCTCGAGAGTGGTACAAGGCTATGGATGCACGCCTGCTCGAAGGAGGTTTCAAGAAAAGTCAGTGTGACAGAGCATTCTACTGGAAGGGGGAAGGGGAGGAAAAAGTCTACCTCCTACTCTACGTCGACGACATCCTAGTGGCTGGAGCTTTGTTGGACAGAGTTGAGGAAGTGTGTGCTCACCTTGCAGCTGTCTTCCAGGTGAAGCAGATCCCGAGAGCCACGTTGTTCCTTGGCATGAACCTGGAGCGGGACCGAGAAGGGAAGAAGCTGCTACTCTACCAAAAGAAGTACATTCATCGGTTGCAAGAAAGGTTTGGAACACGGAACTGCACCAAGGCAGTGACCACTCCGCTCAGCAGCCTGTCAGAGAAGGAAGTCAACCCTGAAGAAGAAATCATCCAATGGGGCAGCAAGGAGCGAGCATTGAAGGCTTACCAGTCACGGGTCGGATCGGTGATGTACCCCGTCTCTTGTACGCGGGTAGATGTCGCACATGCTGCCAGCTTCTTGGGGCAGAACGTGCTGCAGCCAGAAGGCCGCAAATGGAAGGAGATGCAGCGCACAATCACCTATCTGCAGCAACGGGGAGAAGAGGGGCTACTCTACGAAGGCGGAGAAGAAGCAATGGAGTTAATCGGATATGCTGATGCATCTCATGCATCAGATAAGAAGGACAGAAAGGGAGCTTATGGGTACGTCTTCCTCCTAGGCGGGACAGCAATCACATGGCAAGGGAAGAAGCTGAACGACATTGCACTCTCGAGCGCGGAAGCGGAATACATGGCGTTATTCTACGCATGCCAAGAAGGAGTGTGGCTAAGGCGTTTACTACAGGAAATGGGGATACGCATTGAAGGACCAACAACCATCAGATCGGACAGTAAATCGGCCATAGCATTGGCGAAAAACGACAACTGGCACGGGCGGACCAAGCACATGGACATTAAATATAATTGGGTGCGTGAACAGCTGGAGAAAAATGCATTTACCTTTGAGTTCGTACGGACAGAAGATCAAGCAGCCGACTTCAGCGATTCGTTCCTTCTCACTGAGCGATGGCTAATCTTCGAGCCATTTTTGTTATCGGGATCATCTGCGTCTGTTAGAAGTGGTTCACCGCTGCACCGACTCTAGAGCTTGAAAGCGACAGAAGAGGACACTTGGAAATTGCCTTACCTATGGCGGTGGGAGAGAATAGGCTGGAAAACGGGTTCTGACGGTGGGAGGAGCTAGCTGAGAAGACCGTGAGGAGCAGCTGGTGAAAACGAGGGTTTCAGGAGAGAGAGAGGGAAGAACGTTCTCAACCGCCAGAACTGTTCCCAACCATTCCGGAGGCGGTGTTCGGTGGAGTTGAAAAAAGTCGGTTTCAACGACGGTTCAGTTTGAATTTCGGTTTTCAACGTCGGTTACTGTTACGAAATTCGGTTTCGTGACGAGGCGCGTTACGCGAGGCGCACTTAGAAATTCGGATTTCGGATTGCTTAAATATCATGTTCTGTTTTCCTCATTGTATCAGTTTTTCATAGTGAAACTTTCTGTTTGCAACCTGGGTTGGAAAGCAACCTGTTTGTACAACTTTCAGTTCAAGTGTGGAGCCCGCTACTGCTGTTTTCGTGACCTCTAAGTCACGTACTCACGACGTCCTAGTCTAAGAGCGTCGCCCTCTGCGTGGCTGGCGCGGACGCACAAACGAAGCCCAAGGCGAAACCCACCAAGGCGCAGCTCAAAGCGGAGCTAAACAAAATGTCGACCACCATCACGAAACGTTACCCGCAGTATGCGAAATACGCGAAGGACATCAACAAATACATCGGCCTCGCGCTCAACTCCAAGTACGATTTTTCAGCCCTCGCGGACGCCACGATCCTCCTCCCCAGCAACACAGAAGCCCAAGCCCTCGCTAAGAAGCTCCCCGTTACGAAAGCCAACATCCCCACCATCTACAACATCACGGCGTACCACATCATCACCAAAAAATACACCGTTCCGAATTTCAAGGCCTTCAAGCAAGTGCAGCCGCTCCGTACTCAGTTAAAGCTCGCGTCTCAAATTTCACCCTTCCGACCAAGTGTTAAACGCTTGGGATCCGGTAACAGCTGGGTTTGTCGCAAAGCACACCAAGGCAAGGGGTGGTTTGGGAAGGTTGGTTGGGAGAGGTTTGAAACAGGGCCTCGTTCCAGGCAAAACCAAACCAAAGGGAAACAACGTGTTGCAAAGTTGGTTGGGACAGGAATACGACAACGCAGGTTGGGAAACACACCTGCACGAACCAATCTACAGGTGTACAGAAAAACGTGCGACAACAGAGGCATCGTCGCACACTTCCCCGTGCAAACCAAGCATTTACAGCTCTCAGAATTATGAGACTCAGAACTCTCAACTTTGACAAAACGGTTCGTGTAGGCACCAGTTCAAGTGTTTTACCAGCCATATGCCACGTCTTTTAGTATAGCTAGCCTTGAAAACTCAGTCGCGATCATGATGTAGGGGAAACCGTGCGCCTATAGACCTTGGCGCATTCCGTGACCCGCATTCTCTAAGCCCGAACACGGGAAAATCATCAAATTTAGCGTGTCCAATCCCCACCTTCGTCCTCTCCTCGCCAAAAACTGCCGGCGTGGGGTTCATCGCCATTCATCAACCGCCCTTATTAGGTGAAAGGGGAAGGTCGCAGTAGCATGAAGGGTGGAAAGGACGATAGGGACGAGCCAAACGCGGCAAACGCGGCAATGGGGCGATATCACCGAAGTCGCGGGACTAAGGCCCGCCGAGACGCGGGAAAGGTGTGTACCCTGCCGGTGAGCGCGCGCACACCTCCCTTCAAGGGGCGCGCACCCAGCTGTAAGCAGCGCGCACACCGCAAGCAGCTGAGTGCGCCCCGCTGTAGGCATCACGCGCCACCTGAGCCTCAGCGCTCGCCCCGCTATAGGCATGAGGCGCCTCTTTAGCATCAGCGCGAATGCGCCTGTAATCTCACGCGCCATTCGTCACGTAATCGCGCATGGTGCGGGTATGTCAAGCACTACATGAGAGGGGGGAGGAGGAGAGGACAGAGGGGGGGAGAAGGTGCGCTGAGAGGGGGGAGGAGGAGAGGACAGAGGGGGGGAGAAGGTGCGCTGAGAGGGGGGGAGACCCGGTGCTACCCCTCCTATCCCCCCCTGCTTCTCCTCCTTTCCCCCCGGTGCTACCCCTCCTTCCCTGCTTCCCCCCATCCCCTTCCCTGCTTCCCCCCATCCCCTCCCCTTCTTCCCCCCATCCCCTTCCCAGCTTCCCCCCATCCCCTTCCCTGCTTCCCCCCATCCCCTTTCCTGCTTCCCCCCATCCCCTGGCACCCGCACTCTCACTCTCCTTTCCTCCCGCACTCTCTCTCTCCGTCCTCTCCCACTCGCACTCTCCTTCCCCCCACCCTCTGCCCAGTTGTCACCTGCCCTCCCAATGCCTGCCTTTCCCTCCCTGCCCTGCGCTTTCCTTCCCCATCCCTTCTCAACCCTTCCCTTCCTTTTCATGCCCTCCCCTTCCCCCTCACTCCTCACCTTCCACCCTCTAGTTCCCATGCACGTGCACCCATCACTGTCTCCCCATACATTATTTCATCATGTGCGCTTGCTTGTGTTCCCTTGCAGTTGTTCCCTTGGCACCTCACACCACCTCCCCCATGTTCATTCACACAATTCTTTCTGCCTACTCCACTCCCCTAATTTTCAGTGGTGAAGCAGAAGAGCAAGCTGAGGCGCAGCTAAAGCTAGTCCATGCTTTACACCGTACCACCACCTGTTTCTTGTGTGTTGTATGCAATCATGTTCTGCGGGGGGGAAGGAGGAGAGGACAGAGGGGGGAAGGAAGGGTGATATACCAGTTTGCGATAAATTCCCCTAATTTCCCCCCAATCCCCCCTCCGCTCCCTCTCATTCCCCCCTCTGCTCCCTGTCATTCCCCCCCCCCCTGCTCCCTCTCATTCCCCCCTCTGCTCCCTCTCATTCCCCCCTCTGCTCCCTCTCATTCCCCCCTCTGCTCCCTATCATCCCCCCCCCCCCCCTGTTCCCTCTCATTCCCCCCTCCGCTCCCTCTCATTCCCCCCTCTGCTCCCTCTCATTCCCCCCTCTGCTCCCTATCATCCCCCCCCCCCTGTTCCCTCTCATTCCCCCCTCTGCTCCCTGTCATTCCCCCCCCCCTGTTCCCTCTCATTCCCCCCTCTGCTCCCTCTCATTCCCCCCTCTGCTCCCTCTTATTCCCCCCTCTGCTCCCTGTTATCCCCCCCTCCGCTCCCCATAAATTACAGCTCTGCTTTCCCATCAATTCCCCTACTGCACCAGGTCAATACAGAACCCCCTCTGCTATAAAATAATTTCCCCTTGTGCTCCCCATCAATTTACTCACTCCTTCCCCTCATTTCCCCCTTTCCCTCCCCTCCTTTTCAGCCTCCCTCTTCTCCAGCTGCTTCAGCCTTGACACTCAGGATTTTGTCAGAACTGGTCCGCCACGCATGAATTTTGTTAAGCTTTAGCTATTAAATAGTACCGGTTTGACAAGTACCCATGACATGTATCAATGTTGGATGCTTCTTTATAAAAATCACTTCAGTGTTTAGGATACTGAACTGAGCCATTCAGTTGATCACTACAAAGAAGTGCAACAAAGGTTTCCAGACAAGTCACCTTGCCTTCCAGACACAGCAGGTGCAGCAGAGGCAGCGAGGGAGGAGGGCAGGCCATAGCTGCCCTGGCGCCACCCACCCCCCACCTGCACCACACGCATCGCCTCATACCCCGCCACTGCCCACTCCCCCTGCACGCCCTGACTCGAACCAACTGCGCCCCCCACTGCCTTCTCGCCTCCACTGCCAGCATCTGCATCAGCAGGCTTTGTGTGTGGCGGCAGTGGCAGGAGGGCTGTTGCTTGTGTGCGACCAGGTGCGATGGCGGAGAGGGACGTCCACAAGCAGATGGACGAGAGGGCGTATGGCGGCGTGAAGGCGGGTGGGGGTGGTGAGGTGAGGGTGAAGGAGGGGGGAGTGGCTGGTAGCAGCGGCTGCAGATTCCACTGCACAAATGGGTTCAGAGCGGTGCAGTTGGTGTACGGCTCTCCTGAGGGAGAAGGATGGGGACAGGAGGGCAGGAAGAGGGATGGGGTAGAGTGGAGATGAGAGGGGAAAGGGGAGACAAGATGAGCACTCAGAAATAGAGCACAGAATCAAGGCAGAGGGTAATCAAGTGGAGGCGAGGAGGCGGGCAGCGAGCAGCAGCGAGTGGCCCACAAGCGCTACTGAAGCATCCACCCTGCTTCATCCCCACCTCTCACCTTCCCCACTGCCCTGGGAGCGGCTCTATAACCCCCCCCTCCCGCCCCTTCCCACTGCTCAGCACCCTGTCCTCCTTGTGTTCTGCCACTAAGCAGTGGCAGCAGGCAATCATACATCATGGTGATAATCAAGCACAAGGAATTCACCCACTCAGCTCGCACCCACACCACCATCCTTCCAAAACCCATGCCCCCTCTCCCCTCCTTGGCCTGCCCGCCGCGCATGCTCCTCCCACACTATCTGAACCGCCTTGGGGTTGGCCCCCGCTGCTTCTACCTCTGCTGGCTCTATTCCCTGGTGTGCAAGTCATCTCACTGCCTCCCACTGCTGCTTGGTCACTGCATTGTGTAATGGAGTCCCTGGGGGAGGGCAGAGGGCAGAGAGCGGGGGGCGGATGGTGGATGAGAGAAGGCGGAGGGATACAAAGAGGAGGAAAGCGGCTCTGGAAGCAGATGCAGAGCCAGAGCAATTCAAGCGGGGTGCAGAGGGCACCGCAGGGTAGAGCGCATGAAGGCAAGAGGGCTAAGAAGCTGGGTGGAGAAAGAAACGAGCGAAGCACTTTCTACCGTTCTTGCATTGAACCAATCATGGCACTCACAGCCGCAAGGCACTCACAGCCGCCAGGCACGCACAGCCGCCAGCAGGCACATGCAGTCCACGTGGCCGCCATACGCCGCCACGTGCAGTGGCGTGGTGGCGTTGCGCGTGCTGCACACCCCCGCTGGCATGCCCATGCGCAACAGCGCCTGCAGCTGCAGGCACATGCATGGGAGAACGGCGGGGAGGGAGAGAAGCGGGCAGCAGGGTGAGTGCGGTCCATGCCTGCGACATTATTGAAGGTGCATGTGAGTGCAGGCACGTGGACGGGGAGGGATGAGTGCACACGCGTGATGGACGGTGGGTTCAGAGAGTGTTGAGCGGGCTGCATGGCTGTGCTGCATGGGTGAGAGCTGGTGCATGGCTGTGCTGCATGGGTGAGAGCTGGTGCATGGCTGTGCTGCATGGGTGAGAGCTGGTGCATGGCTGTGCTGCATGGGTGAGAGCTGGTGCATGGCTGTGCTGCATGGGTGAGAGCTGGTGCATGGCTGTGCTGCATGGGTGAGAGCTGGTGCATGGCTGTGCTGCATGGGTGAGAGCTGGTGCATGGCTGTGCTGCATGGGTGCAGGCGGGGAGGCAGGTGAGACTGACCACGGGGGAGTCACCATTCCGAGCAGCCACATGCATGGCGGTCCAGCCCCACTTGTCCACCACGCCACTCAGCCCCTCTGCTGACTCCACCCCGCATGCCCGCACCACATGCCACAGCCCCTGCCCCTCCTCCTCCCCACCACCCTCACCACTAGTACATCCCCTCCCCCATGCACTCACCTCCCTGTCAAAAGGGACGACGTCTCTCTTCCCCCTCCTCGGGCAGCACCTGCTCTCCCCCTCCATTCCCCCTCCCCATCAACCCGCGCCTTATTCCGCCCACCCCTAATCTCCTTCCGCCCATCCCTGATCTCATTCCGCCCTTCCATAATCTCATTCCATCATAACTACTCGCATTTCGCCCATCCGCAATCTCATTCCGCTCTTCATACTCTCATTCCGCCCTTCCTACTGTCATCCCTCCCTTCTTAATCTCGTTCCGCCCTTGTTCCTCTCATTCCGCCCTTCTTCCTCTCATACCGCCCTTTTTCCTCTCATTCCGCCTTTCTTCCTCTCATTCCGCCTTTCTTCCTCTCATTCCGCACTTCTTCCTCTTATTCCGCCCTTCTTCCTCATTCCGCCCTTCGTCCTCTCTTTCCGTCCTTTTTCCTCTCCATCCGCCGTTCTTCCTCGCATTCCGCCCCTCGTTCTCTCATCGCGCCCTTCATCCTCTCATTCCGCCCTTCTGCCTCTCAATCCGCCCTTCTTCATCTCACACCGCCCTTCCTACCTGTTTTCGACGTTCCAAATCGCATTACGCAAACCCTAAACTCATTCCGCACATCCCTACTCTCATTCCGCCCGTAGTAGTCGCAATCTGCCCTTCCTAATCTCAATCCGCGTTTTCCACTCTAAATCCGCCCATCCCGTCTCTCATTCCCGATCAAGGAAGATGCTCTCATACTAATCGTAAACGGGGGAAATAATGCTTAGCTGGCTTTCTATTTCGGTGTTACTACGGCTCAGCGACGGGAGTATGGTTGCTTGGCGTGGGCACTCATTTTCTGACTTCACACTTCTGTCAACCTCAAAACGTGATTGCGTCGCCAGGGTGGGTCGCATAGTTCTCAATCAGACGCAAACCTGTCCCCCAAGGCTCGTCTTACACCCAAACCTGCCCACCCAGGTTTGTTTTGGCCTTGATTGTTGGGGAGTTCGCTGTGTTCTTTTCACCCGCTCGTAAAAACTTTCGTCATTCGTTACCCAATCACGGACGGGCAAACCCAACCAGGTGTTAAACCTTTGGAAATTTGAGACCCGAGCTTTAAAGCAGGCTCTGTACAAGATCTCGGCCAAAGGTGCGAACGTCGTGTCGTTCGCCAGGGGTCCGAAAGCGCCTGCTGCAACGTGGACGACAATCAAGATCATGAGGATTTACTCCGGGCCGTACTTCATTGCTCACGGCGTCGATAAAGTTATAATTCCCATCGGCACGAGGATGCCCAAGTAAAAAGCTACATTAAAAATGGAGTCATGCTATAAAATCACGTTATGTGCTAGTTTAGAACTGTAGTTGACCTGCATTAGAAACTGTCCGTCCAGCATCTGGACTGGCCTCACTTTGCGGATTCACCTGCATTCTAAGGCATCGGTAGTTGCCTGCCTAGCTGTCTGTCAACCTGGGATGGGATGCTTGATGTACATAGCCTTGCAACCATTCCATGTCTTAAGGCCTTTACTTACTATATCCAGGAGCTTTTTACCTCAACGGGTGATGGAGAATCACTGCATTTTAGCTGCCTTTGAGGGCCAAACCCAGGCTATGCCATAAAACCCATTTGCCTATGCCTGTGTAAAATCTTACTGATCAGTATGAGATCTCAGTTTGAAACCATGTTTTTAGCTGTGTCCAACTCAGGGGTGTCTGCAACGCAACAGGTGACTTGCACAACTCGTGGAAGTGGTCTGGGGAACAAAACATAAGAATACAAGTGTACAACATGCCACTACGATGCAATGCATCAGCTGTTGTAATCTGGGAGCCGCCTGGTACGAGATGTCATTCGAGGGATTTGAGCATGCGAAAGAGCGCTGCTGCTTCTCTGACTCGCGAATACTCGATACAGAATGCCTGCATCTCAATGAAAAGCGCCTCCACTGCCACACGGAAAAAGGGGGTGACAAAATGACATTCATGTAGATGGCATAGGTAAAAGAAGAGAAAAGAAAACCGTTACCAAATGCGCAACACAAGAGTAGCTCAAAGCTAATAGCTGAGTAAGGAAAGGCACATGATGTGGCTTGAACAGCATAAAGTGTGTCGGCATAAGGAAACATTTCTCTGAGGGTGTATGTACCATTGATGATGTTATCGCGAATGAGACTCAGTAAGAAGATGCAAACGATCCGCACAAGGCGATTCTGCATGCTCTTATCCTGCAAATGCAGCGGCGATGTGTTGGGTTGGGTTGAGACACAACAGGGACACCTTTACACTCGCTCAACTCACACAGGGCAGCAGACTGAAATGGGTCACATGCATTACCATGGGTCACATCACATGCATACCCATGGGTCACATGCATACCCATGGGTCACATGCATTACCATGGGTCACATGCATTACCATGGGTCACATGCATACCCATGGGTCACATGCATACCCATGGGTCACATGCATACCCATGGGTCACATGCATACCCATGGGTCACATGCATTACCATGGGTCACATGCATTACCATGGGTCACATGCATACCCATGGGTCACATGCATTACCATGGGTCACATGCATACCCATGGGTCACATGCATTACCATGGGTCACATGCATACCCATGGGTCACATGCATACCCATGGGTCACATGCATTACCATGGGTCACATGCATACCCATGGGTCACATGCATACCCATAGGTCACGTGCACTGCCATGGGACACGTGCACTGGCGGTTTCTCATCTCATCTCAGTTACTAAACCATCAAAGCTTACAGAGTAAGCTCGTAGTAAACACAACAAACCCACCTTGGTTTCCTCGCAGCACCGCATGCAGTGGCTGGCATATGAGTGGATGAAATCGGGTGGCAAGTAACTTCTGAGATTTAACAGAAGCGACTCACATATAGCCGTTTGACACCCGTTTGACACACCTTGGTTTCCTCGCAGCACCGCATGCAGTGGCTGGCATATGAGTGGATGAAATCAGGCGACTGCCCTTCCAATCTCAGCACTCACTCATCCTAACGACTGGGTGGCAGCCTCTACTGAACAGCCACTCAATCGCATCAAATTCACAGCCACCCACCTTGGTTTCCTCACAGCACCGCATGCAGTGGCTGGCATACGAGTGGATGAACCAGCACAGCAGTGGATACAACACCACACCAACCAAACCTACAGCTTCTAGAAAGCAAGCTCGCAGTAAACACAACAAACGCACCTTGGTTTCCTCGCAGCACCGCTTGCAGTGGCTGGCATACGATCGGATGGGAAGTAGTAGATACGAAGTCATTTGCACCTTGCTCCCCTCACACCCACCACACTGCCTCAACTCAAACTTACATATATGCTAGAGCCAATAACAACAAAGTCACACCCACCTTGGTTTCCTCGCAGCACCGCATGCAGTGGCTGGCATACGAGTGGATGAAATCGGGCGGCAAGTCAACGGCCTTGGCCACCCGGCTGACCACCTCTAGTGAGTGGAGGGTGAGGGGAAGCTGAGACAGCACCTCCAGGTACCTGGGGGGGGGGCAGTGGGAAGGGGAAGTGGTTGGTCAAGTCAGGACAGTGGGGTTGGCCACCTCGAGCGAGTGGAGCGTCAGAGGCAGCTGAGACAGCACCTCCAGGTACCTGAGGTTGGAAGGAAGAGAGAGGAAGGAATTTCAGATGGGTGTGGCAAGGCCAGTGAAGGACTGGGAGAGGCAAGTCAACAGCCTTGGCCCCACGACTGAGCAATTCCAGCGAGTGGAGGGTGAAGGGCAGCTGAGACAACACCTCCAGGTACCTGGGGTTGGAAGGAAGAGAGAGGAAGGAATTTCAGATGGGTGTGGCAAGGCCAGTGAAGGACTGGGAGAGGCAAGTCAACAGCCTTGGCCCCACGACTGACCACCTCTAGCGAGTGGAGGGTGAAGGGCAGCTGAGACAACACCTCCAGGTACCTGAGGTTGGAAGGAAGAGAGAGGAAGGAATTTCAGATGGGTGTGGCAAGGCCAGTGAAGGACTGGGAGAGGCAAGTCAACAGCCTTGGCCCCACGACTGACCACCTCTAGCGAGTGGAGGGTGAAGGGCAGCTGAGACAACACCTCCAGGTACCTGGGGTTGGAAGGAAGAGAGAGGAAGGAATTTCAGATGGGTGTGGCAAGGCCAGTGAAGGACTGGGAGAGGCAAGTCAACAGCCTTGGCCCCACGACTGACCACCTCTAGCGAGTGGAGGGTGAAGGGCAGCTGAGACAACACCTCCAGGTACCTGGGGTTGGAAACGGAAAAGCGGAGGGAAGCTCAGGTGGTCAAGGACTGAAAGTGGCAAGTCAACGGCCTTGGCAGCCTGGCTGACCACCTCGAGCGAGTGCAGGGTGAGGGGCAGCTGAGACAGCACCTCCAGGTACCTGCGGTTGGAAATGGGAGAGAGCAGGGAATTTCAAGTCAAGTCAAACCAAGACAGTGAGGGGGGAGTGGCAAGTCAACAGCCTTTACCACCTCGAGCGAGTGCAGGGTGAGGGGCAACTGAGACAGCACCTCCAGGTACCTGGGGGGGCAGTTGATGTGATGGAGGTTGTGGGGCGATGGGGGTTGTCGGACAGACAAAGAGAGTTGTAGGGAGTTGGGGGTGGGGTATTGAAGGGGGAGTGGCAAGTCAACAACCTTAGCCGCAAGGCTGACCACCTCGAGTGAGTGGAGTGTGAGGGGCAGCTGGGACAGGAAGGGCAGCAGCACCACAAGTGCAGCTCACATTTGCATGGATTTGCAGCAGAGCGAGAGCACATGCACATGCAGCAGCACAACAGCATACAACCATGTACTCTTTTGCATAGAACCATGTACTTTTTTGCATAGAACCATGTACTCTTTTGCATAGAACCATGTACTCTTTTGCATAGAACCATGTACTCTTTTGCATAGAACCATGTACTCTTTTGCATAGAACCATGTACTCTTTTGCATAGAACCATGTACTCTTTTGCCATTCCAGGAGTTCAGCTACTCCATTCCGATCCTTGACGTTGCAGGGATTTTTTTAGAATTCTAAACAAATCCCTCTTTTGCCATTCCAACAGTTCAGCTACTCCTTTCCGATCCCATGTCCCATACTTACTCGAAAGAGGGCTGTGATGCCAGCAGCAGTGTGAGAGCACATGCAGCGATGTCAGGGTTGTTTTCCACTAGAGGCTGCGGGCAGATATAGGGAGAGGGAGGGAGGGGAGAGGGAGAGGGAGAGAGGAAGAAGGAAGAGGGAGTGAGAGTGAGAGCACATGCAGCGATGTCAGGGTCGTTTTCCACTAAGAGGCTGCGGGAAGAGTGAGCGAGGGGAGAGGGGAAAGAGGGAGAGGAAAGAGGAAGAAAGAAGAGGGAGTGAGAGAAGGACACATGCACCAGGCTGGCGGGGAGAGGGAGGAAGAGGAGGGAGACGGAAAGAAGGAGACGGAGAGAGGAGGAAATGGGAGGGAGTGAGAGTGAGAGCACATGCAGCAATGCCAGGATTGTTTTGACTAGAGGCTGGATAAGGGGGAGAGAGGAGAGTAGAGCGAGAGAGGAGAGTAGAGGGAGAGAGGCGAACATGAATTGGCGGAGAGAATAAGGGCTGCAGCGCAGAGGCTGAGGCAGAGGCAGAGGCTGAGGCAGAGGCTGAGGCAGAGGCTGAGGCTGAGGCAGAGGCTGAGGCTGAGGCAGAGGCTGAGGCAGAGGCTGAGGCTGAGGCAGAGGCTGAGGCTGAGGCAGAGGCTGAGGCTGAGGCAGAGGCTGAGGCAGAGGCTGAGGCTGAGGCAGAGGCTGAGGCTGAGGCAGAGGCAGAGGCAGAGGCTGAGGCTGAGGCTGAGACAAGAGGAGGACGGAATTAGAGGCGCCTCAATAGCGAGGCACATACCGGCAGTGTGAGGGGGTGTAGACCACACGCTGAGATGAGAGACGGATTGGCGGAGAGGGGATGGGCTGCAGGGCATAGGCTGAGACAAGAGGCGGACGGGGTTGAGGCGCATTAACAGCAGGCCACGTACCGGCAGGGTTAGGGGGTGTAGACCACACGTTGAGATGAGAGACGGATTGGCGGAGAGAAGAGAGAGGAGCTCCTGTTTGGAGTGGGTGGAGAGAAAAGAACAAGGGTTGGGGAAAGGCGGGGGAGTGCTGCTGCACGACACGAGGTGAGTTTTGAGTCGACTCTAAAGTCAAAGGCGGGGGAGTGCTGCTGCACGACACGAAGTTCAAGGGGAATTGTGCACCAGGGTTTACGAGTTTTGAGTCGACTCAAAACTCGACTCACTACACGTTGGGAAAAGGCGGGGGAGTGCTGCTGCACGAAACGAAGTTCAAGGGGAATTGTGCACAAGGGTTTACCGACCCTTTGAAAGGTCTGTTTGTGATCGACAGAGGAATAAACGGACTGTGCAGACCCAATTCACACTCTTTCCCACTCGCCCCATCAGCAGGAAGGAGCGAGTGGGCCTACGGGAGGGTTCCGAGACAGCCTCGACTGCTGCTGACTCAGGCTCGCACAGGGCCAAGTCACACTCATGTGTTGATGAGTCACGCCCACCTATTGATGAGTCAGCCTCACCTGCTGCTGACTGGGCATGAGCGGACCTTCCAATGCCTTTTGCATCAACTGAAACTCCACAGTGCCTCGACTCTCCACCACACCTTCCCCTTCCTCTCTCTCTCCCCTTCCTCCTCCCTCCTTCTCCACTTCGCCCCCCTCCCCACTCCCACCACCACCACGTTTCCCATCCTCTCTTACACTCTCTCCCTCTGACCTTCCCGCTCCTCTTCCCTCCACTATCTCCCCTGCTCCGTCTCCTTCCCGGTGCCCCTCTGCCTGACTGCCCCTCATCCCCACGCTCGTGCCTGCACCAGGCCGGTCCGAACGAGATTCCCCCTCACCACGCTCCCCTTGGCTGGCAGTTGCTAGGCTCTGGCTTTCCCCCGGACCCTGTCGGGTGGTAGAAGTGGCGCCTGATACTGCTGCTGCTGCTGCTGCTGCTGCTGCTGCTGCTGCTGCTGCTGCTGCTGCTGCGGATACTGCTGCTGCTGCTGACAGTGCTGCTGCCTCTGCTTCCTCTGAGGGAAAATCTGCCACAATTCCATCAATCTGGCAGGAAAAAAAGGAAAACAAGAAAAGAAAACGGAAAACGAATGTGCACAAAAATACGCACACAGCAAACCACACTAAACCGCACTACACCACACCATCACATCAGACTCACTGCCAACTCATACACAGGTAGAGAGCACAGGGGCATATATTCTTCTAGGCAGCTAATACACAGTTAGCACAAAAAGGGCATATCATTCCTCGTACTTTACTGCACCTAGATTTCACCGTACCTCGCCTAGATTTCACCAAAACTCGCCTTCATTGTACCTTGTCTTCACTGTACGCCGCCCTCAGTGCACCTCACCTGCCGCACCAGCACAACCGAACCTCACTTCACCACACCTGCCTCACCAGCACAACCGAACCTCGCTTCACCACACCTGCCTTAACCGTACCTCGCCTGGTTGTGGGGCCAGCAGGGGCGGCAACGGTCGAATCCAAGGAGGTTCAAACCCTCCCATTCCCCCCAGCTGTAGCAGCTGAATACAAGATGCTACAGCTGAGTCCATAGGTGCCAACCCTGCTGGCAGGCCTGGTTGCTGTGCTTTCAGTGCTGCCTGTGCTTGCATGCACTCAGCAACAGTGCGTTTGGAGCACTTCAGCACACGCGGCACTGCTGCTGCTCTGAACGCATTGCTACCACTGGGGCCAGTGGAAGCAAATAGAGAAGATGATGATGATGTGAAGGCGGGAGAAGCGTTGAAAGCAGAGGCTGTGGCGGAGCGAGAGGAGGAAGCGGGTATGATGTCGGAATGTGCCTTGTAGATGGCCTCACGTGAAGGGAGCTGCAGAAAGGGAGGGAAAGGAGGGATGGAGGGAAGGAATAAATGCTGTGCTGCCTGTGCGTGCATGCACTCAGCAACTAAGCACACGCGGCACTGCTGCTGCTCTGAACGCACTCGTGCCGCCTATCTCAGTCGAAGAAAAATTAAGCAGAGGAGGAAGTGTGAAGGCGGGAGAAGCGATGAAAGAGGAGGAAGTGGAGGAGTGAGAGGAGGAAGAGGGTATGATGTCGGCATGTGCCTTGTAGATGGCTTCACGCGAAGGGAGCTGCACAAGGGAAGGGCAGTACTGATGAAGAATCAGTACTGCATGAACCTTCAATCATGTAGATGGCTTCACGCGATGGTGGTACGACATGATTGAAGGTTCATGCAGTACTGATTCTTCATCCCAGCCTCCAGGTTTATGGCAAGGGTTAAAGGCTCGGGCTTTGAGGTTCAGTGTTTGACCCTAACACAAGCGCGCGCACGCACGCACACTCCGTCTCTATCCCTTCCTCTCTAATGGTCCTTTCATTGATAGTAGTGGTGTACACACACTGACCTGATTGGGCGGTTTGAAGTGCTGCACATAGTCCCGTGCTGACTTGCTGGGCACCTAAGATTGTGGCGTGGGCGAGTAGGTGCGGGCAGGGAGTGAGTAAGTGGATCTCCATATGCCAGGGCAGCGAGTGCGAGAGCAGGTTGAGCGCGAAACAGATAGAGGTAAAGATGACTGCTGAGCGCAGGTCAGTGCAAGGTAATGACGGGTACTGCGGTTACTATGAGCACTCACATCCGCCATTGAGTGTGAGAGCAGGTTGAGTGCGAAGCAGCGCTCTATGGCTGGCAGGGATGCCTCGGATGCCACCTGAACGGATGGATATAGTAAGGTGGAGAACAGTAAGGGGGTGCTTTTGAGACGAGGTGAGTTTCGATGCCATACAGAATGCCACCTGAGTGGGGTGAAGAGTGTGAGATCAGGTTGAGTGCGAAGCAGTGCTCTATGGCCGGCAGTGATGCCTGTGATGCCACCTGAGGGATGGATGGGCATACAGGCAAGAGGGTTGGGGGGATGGAGATAATAACAGAATTCTTTTGAAACGAGGTGAGTTTCGATGCCACTAGGGATGCCAGCTGAGTGGGGTGGAGGGTATGAGAGCAGGTTGAGTGAGAAGCAGCGTACAATGGCTGGCCGGCAAAAATGCCTCTGATGCCACCTGGAGAGATGGAGATAAGGAATTTTATGACGATAGGACAATGGGGTTGGAACCGATACACGAGTAAGGGGTGTTTTACTTGACACGTCTCAGCAATTCATGGGACCGGTAAGGGTAGAAGCTGCAAGAGAATCCTCTCACGGGGCCACAGGCAGGACCAGGCTGAAAGAAAAGAAGGGCAAGAGGTTGCACCCAACAAAGAACTGTAGCCACGCACACGGATGCTAGAGGTGAAGGAACATGGTCTACGTGCAACAGCAGAGGGGCAAAAAGGGGCGAGTGGGCTAAGGGATTACGTGTAGCAGCAGGGGAGCAAAGGGGTGGTCCTTCAACGGTTCGTTGTGAAAGGAGTGATCCAGGAGAAACAGCGAGATGAGCAATCAGAAGGAAACAGGGGGGATGAACTCACGTGTAGCAGCAGCGGGGCGAAGGGGTGGTCCTTCAACGGTTCGTTGTGAAAGGAGTGATCCAGGAGAAACAGCGAGATGAGGCGCTGAGTTCCCTTCAACGCAAACCCGTCCTGTACAGTCACGCGCACGAGTCAAGGGGAAGTACTGATGAGTAAACCACTGATGAATAAACCACTGATGAGTGAACTGCATCATTACACAGGATTACGTGAGTGGGAGTCGGTCACGTGCGCGGATTAGAGAGCCGCACCGGATCAATCTCCAAGAGCACGGCGACGGTGCAGCAGGAGGCGAAAGCAGGGTTGCAGGGTGAGCACGGGAACGAGGTGTCGAGATTGGGCACTAACGTTCTTAGGATATCGAGACCAAGTGGCGCAAACGGCGTCTACGAGAGCAAGTACGGCACAAGGATCGCCCACCTCTAAGAGCATGGCGAGGGCGCAGCAGGCGGTGAAGCGGCGGGTGGGAGGAAACGCGCGGGAAAAAGCATCAGCGTTGAATTTAAAGGACTTGTCTTCTACCAGCACGGACAGAAGTGCTGCTGACTCAGCACCTGACAGCATGGCGGCGATACCGAGGGTGGTGCAGGAAAGGCTCTGTACAGCGAATCAGTAATCTCAGGGCTCGTGTGGATAAATCGCTAATTCGACCAGAAGGTGAAGTGAATTCGACACGTCAGATCGGATAGGAATGGGTAGAGGTTTTTTACGGCATGAAAGATGCTGCTCTAAAAAGAATCGATTATCCTGTTCAGAAAGGGATCTGCCTGACACGCTTGGGTGCGCGTGCGTGTAAGCGCGGGAAGCATAACTATTTGTTCCACAGAAGTCTAGACTCTAGGGTCAGAGGTCGCATACTGATTTCGATTTCGATACCTGATCTGATCAGCACCGGGCTCTCCGCACCTTCGAAACGCCATAACGTTGCAACGTAACACCTGACGTTCTTAGAACGACACCAGTTACATAGCCACGAACACCAAGATTGGGGATTTTTCTTCTTTTGTGACAACTCCGCATACCGAAACAAGCATTCAAACTTGCAGCTCTAATTATAAGGCATTGATCAACGTACACCTGTGCTATTCCGCCGCAATTTACGCAACTTTCACCAGTGACAAATTGCTTGCCACGATGAATGAAATTATTGGTGCGGGGCGCTTCGTCGTTGGAGATAACAAACGTCTGGAAAATGGCTGAATTATTACCTCCCCTGGTTCTGCCACTTCGCTTCCACCATCCTTCAATAATTGTGTGCTTGCAACCCAAACTCCGAACATTCCCAGCATAAATAGACATGGAATCTCGTAGCGGCCACTTGACATGTTTTTACTTTGAGCAGCATTTTCACAAACAGAAGCTCTGGCGAAGCCTTTGCGCCTCCCGAAGCAAATTCTGGAACAAATCACTCATCCCGTAGGCCCAGAGGCTCGTGCATTCCTCCCCTCGCTGGACCGTTGACTTCGTTGCGCCACGCGCCAGTCGTTGTGACTCCGTCTGTCAGTCGTACTTCCACGAAGAGAATCAGAGCTGTCAGTGTGTCTCGTCTCAGCGCTGGCCTCGGAATGACTCTGAGACTGCCGTTCAATCACTGTTACTGGAAGTAGTACTCGTACACAACCTTCGGCTGACGCCTCGTCTGTCCAGCACCTTACGTGCAGTGGAGAGTCTCGTTGCTCCAGCAGGTTTGCACCAAACATGGCTTTAAGACCTGACCGCAATACACTACATTCCTTTCTGCCTTGGTTCGCCGTCGGTATCTGCCTTGCGATTGCCTCATCGGGTCTTCCGTTCGTTGCAGCGGGTAGCGAAACGTACGCGATACAAGCTAGAGCGAGGGTCGATGCAACGGACGACGTCGCAGCTTTCTCTACAGAAACAAGTCAACCGAGTCACAATGAAGTCGTGATCGAGTCTCGAGCTGGCAACTTTTGGCGCCGCGATGTGCGGCCACCTACAGACGATGAAAGCGGAGACGAAATGGACGGTTGGGATGTTCGGAACGGCACACAAGCTCGCCGGGTGAGTTTCAGTCACTAATTGTTCACATGGTGTTACCTTTTTAGCACAGACGCTATCATAACTGGTTATATCATAACACGCAGCGAGGATCGAACCCACTGGTTACGTTGAGATCGAAAACCTTCGCGTCTCCATAGCTGCATTTTCTTTCGCATACCCTTTCAGTCTGATCGATTTTGTTGCCATTCCTTCTCTTCATTGCGTAAATATTTCTTCCGTCTCCCCCTGTCCTACGCGTGATATACAGGCGATATTGAAAGGAAGCAGCAGCAGTAGCAGTGGCAAGAGCAGCGGGAGCAGCAAAAGTGGCGGCAAAAGCGGAGGCGGCAAAAGCGGAGGCAGCAGAAGCGGTGGAAGCGGAAAAAGTGGCGGCGGGGTGAGCAGAGTAGCTTGGGGAAGGACATATTACAGGACGCGACATCACGACGACGACGACGATGACGAATGCGACGGTCTTTTCGACAGTTACTCCAACTGCGTGACGGCGGGGACATGCGACAACAAATTGGAGAGTTGCGTGGCGAGTAACGGTGTCACATGCGAACGCGACTTCGCAGATTGCTTGAAAACGAACCAGCCTGCTTGCGACAACGTCTACTCGAACTATAACGACTGCGTGAACAACTCTGGCGAGAGGCTCGGCGTATTGCTGAAGCTTGTATGGATGCTGACTGTAGCGGCTGTGCTCGCACTTGTACTCTGAATACGGCAAAGAAGCACCCCCGATTCCCGAAAGGCCTCTATGTTCAGTGTTCAACGGCTTTTGGAAGGCCTGAAGGAATTCGGTGAGTAAGGAGCTTGGAATAAGCACGTGATCTGTGGCAAGGGTTTGGTTAGAGTGCACAGCTTGGAATGGCGGTCTAGAATTGGAGGATTCCTTTTGTATTCATCGGTGTTGTTGACTTGGGAATGAGCAGTATTGTAATAGATTCTGGTTCAAAACGTTTCTTTGCGATAAAAATGATTTATCTGGGCTTTTCAAGCGGTTGAGTGTGTTTCTGAGGTGACCAGGAATTCGAGACATGCATAGAACGCTTGGTAAACGAGGAATGCTTGGTAATTCTCGCGTGTCTGCCGAGTTATGTCACGACCAGTTATGTCTAAGATGGGTCGTGAACGATTTCTACATTAACCACTACGGTAACCATGTGACTCCGAGCGCTAAAGCTTTTAACGAGGATGCCTTGCAATCGCCGTTACAGCGAAACCAGGAAGCCATTGCGACGCCATCACTGATCAACACTCCCACCAGGAAGATGGTCGTTCACACCGAACTGCAGGTGAAGTTTTTTCGCATCATCCCACTAACACCTTCGTCAGAGGTTCGTGACCTCCCTCACCACCCTTTAGTCGGTTCCCATCCATCCTCGTCCTCGTCCATGCTGTTACCCTACGCCACACACGTTTCTCCACCGAAATCTCCCAGGTCGCTGTCGTATTCGTGTTTCGCCGCACCGCGCTCACCGCTGGCGACGAGATCCAACGCGTCATTTAGACCCGAGTCCGCGAAGCGCCTGCTCGCAATTTTCGTCAGCCCAGCCCACACTCCCACCACTTCGTACAAATTCCTCGCCACCAACTCAATTCTCATCACAACCAATTTCCTCCTCAATCCAGCCAAGTCCCTCTCCTTCACCTCCGCCACAACACACGGTTCTTCGTTTGCTACTCCTTACCCCACTAGATCCGCATTTCCACCCAATTTCTAGCCTTCGATTTTACCCGACCATTAGTTTCCACTTCTCTGGTACTAAATCTTCTTTCCATAGCAGCAGAGCCTTTCTCTCGCCAACAAATGGCCAGTTCTCGCGTCCTCGCCATCCTCGGGTTCATCTGCGTCGCCCTCTGCGTAGCTGGCGCGAGCGCACAAGCGACGCCGCCGCCGAAGCCCACCAAGGCGCAGCTCAAGGCGGAGCTGAACAACATGGCGACGAACATCACGAAACGTTACCCGCAATACGCGAAATACGCCAAGGACATCAACCGCTACATCGGCCTCGCGCTCAACTCCAAATACGACTTCTCAGTTCTCGCGGACGCCACCATCCTCCTCCCCAGCGACACAGAAGCCCAAGCCCTCGCTAAGAAGCTCCCCGCTAAGAGCAGCAACATCCCCACCATCTACAACATCACGGCATACCACATCCTCTCCCGGAAGCTCACGGTTCCTCAGCTGAATTCCCTCAAGAAATCGCAGCCGCTGGCGACGCAACTGAAGCAAGCGATTTACAAGGTTTCGCCGCAGAATGGTAACTCCGTGTCGTTCGCCCGGGGGGCGAACGCGCCTGCTGCCGCGAGGACGACCATCCAGATCGCGCGGCTGTACGCTGGGCCTTACTTCATCGCGCATGGCGTGGATAAGGTTCTCATCCCCGCTGGCACCACCATGCCCAAGTAGACTGCAGTGCACTGCGTTTAACGGTATAGGGCTAGGATGGCTAGGAACAGGTTTTCTGTTAGAAGTTGACTACCGTATCCCAGCTGACGCTCAGTAGCGTTCTGTTCAGCCTCAGAACACATGCTACTGACCGTCAACTGGACGATAATTGTGCATGATTCTGTCCCGTTTATTTAATGCTATCTTGTGCAGACCTTTTGGAAAATGTACGTTACTTCTTCTTGCATGACCTCTTGCAGAAGCTATCCCGAATCTGAGCCTTCTGGTTCAGTCAATTTAATTCCCTGTTAACTAATCAGTACGGGTCTATCAAGCCTGTGAGTAGATGTGACGACAATCAACAAGCAAGGGTAGAATCTGTCTTTGATGGATGTCTAGGGCTGACTGGCAGGTTTCTAGTGAGATGCTTCTGTTGAAGAGGTACCAGGTCAATGAATATGAAGGTTTCTCATCTCATTGTTATCATCGTCCAAAGAATAAACAAATCAACCCACTTTATCCTCAAACCTGTTATCCAAAGCAGCCCACTGTATAATACAAGTATAAATGCTGTCACCGAGTCAACCCTTTACGGGAACTGTTGTACGGGCATAACCTTCCTGGCGCGGCCATACGCAGTATAAGCGCAGTCCACAGCAAGCACATCACTCGCCTCATACGACCTGGGTGTACCATCCAAGAACCCCTTCCCCTCCACCCCGTCAGCCGAAATCGGACGGTGCAGGCTCGCGATCAACCGCTGGAAATCCGCGGCGCGCTGCGTATGATCCGCGCGGTAAGTCTGCCCCAACACGCCATGGATCTCCTCTGTGTGCTCCAGCTCGGCAATCCCGACGTTGATATGCGCCTCGGCGTCGGTCGGGGTCTGCAGCTTCGGGTGCGCGACGCGCAGGCGCAGATCCAGCGAAATCAGACCGTCGATAGTCAGCATGTAATAATCCACATCGAACGGTCCTTCCTTCTCGAGCCCGCGGAAGTGAACCGTCAGCCCGCCGTCGCTCGTCACCGTGTCGCCAACCTTCATCCTCGGGATCTCCTCACCGTCAATCTCGATGCTCTTCATAAACCCGTCGCCGCGCTCCTGCTGCTTGCCGCCGCGCGCCGCGAGCCGAACCTTGTGGTCCGCGCCCTGAGCAGTCCAGACGATGCCAAGCTCCTTAATCCACGTGTGCACGGCCTTTCCGTCAACGACAAGCGCGGCGTTATCGATGCGCTCGTCGTAATACCCCCTCAGCAGCATGTTCACGTGAAGATCGCGGTCCGTGAGCAGGCAGAACGCCTTGTCGGGGCGGCCGTTGAAGTCGAAATGAGTGCCGTGCGCGCCGACCAAATGCGGGTCGTTGAGAATCTTCACGCTAGGGTTACACTCTCCGCCGATGCGCACCTGCAGGTTCACAGGTAAAATCAATCTGGTCGTGGATCAAATAACACGCGCCCTTGCCCTTCTTCCCGTCAATGGTGATATCGGGAATGTACTGCCAGTACGTGAGCGGCGTCGCGGCGCACGTGTTACAGCACGACGCGGGGTTCGCCTTGAGCAACGTCAGCGGGTTACCCGGCACGTACAGCTCGTAACCCAGCTTGTTCTTTTGCAGATAAGCGGTTTTCCACTTAGCGGCGATGCCGCCCTTGGAGCAATTCTTGGGCGTGCACGCCCCCGCTAGCTCCTTGTTCAAACCGGGCGGGCATTTCTGCGCGTTCCATCCCGCCTTCTTCACATCAGCCATGAAGAACGAGTCCTGCGCGGTATCCACGTAGGTGACTCCCGCCGCGTTGCCTGCCGCGGCCTGCTTTGCTATATCCGCAGGAATTTCGGTCATCAGACCGTCGTCTTTCTTGCTGCTTTGGTCGGGCTTCTCGTTCGCGGTGGCGCTCGTCAGGGGGCTACCGGCGCGGGCGACTGCTAGCAGCAGCGCCAGGGACAGCGCGAGAAGCACGGCTCTAGCCATTCTTGAAACGTATGAGAAGTGAGAAGCGAGGGTGTGTGATTAGTCGGATGGAATTACAATACAGAGTTAGGAGTAGCGTACAGACGATTTGAGATTATTCACTTCTGCTCGATTAGTTCCAATGCTTGATGTTGGAAGAAATTGGCAGAGTTCGAACATATATGTGAGGTGTATGAGGGAGGGAGGGTGAGAGGGAGGGAGACAGCGCGACCGAGTCGCGGTTGTGTTTGTTTCTCTGCGGCGCGCGCGAGCTAGGCTTCAGCGAGATGGCACTGTGCTGGATCCGACCTGGCTCTGTACTGCCCGCGGTCATCTCACGTTGCTTCCTCCCGATTGGATAGACTCTCAGGTTAAGGTTAAGGTTATATATTGATCGTAATCAAAGTACAAAGAGTAATCCATAGAGCAGTCTAGAAACATGGCCGAGGTGGCCAGCATCCGCAGTGGAGCACGTAGAACACACGTTATTCATTGTCCTCGCGGACAACCGCCAGCTGCCTGGGGAGACGCTCTATGCGATGGATGACTATGGTGGTCGGAACGGGTTTCCCAAGAGCCAGGAGAGCCTTAGGTCGGGTTGGATAGAGGGTGTGCCGGTCCTGTCGAAGAGGAGAAAGCGGAGTTTCTGTGCTCGCTTGATGCTGGATGATATACGTTGACGCTTCTTGGCCGATTGGCGTTTGCCTCTCCACATGTAAATTTTGAAGGCGATGAGGAACTGGGCTAAGATGAGCTGCAGTATCTCGAAGCTCGAGGAGGAGGAGTTGCGGTACCTGTGGTCACAGCGACTGTTCCACAGCGTCTTGGCTGCTGCTCCTACTAGTAGGCTCCATGGGGGGGACTGTCCAACCCGTGACTGTGGCGGGAAGAAGATGTGTTCGGCGGGGGCGGTTTGTCCGAGGTGACGGTCAGCGACTGTGCGCAGAGCAGAGATGACATTTCCGGCGGAGGCGCATTCGAAGAAGATATGCGGCAGTGTCTCTATAACAGCAGCAGGACACCGGGGGCAAACCCCTCGGTCGTCAAAATATTGGAAGCGTGATCCAGAGGGGAGAGTTAGTGTGTAGAGTCTGAAGAGGATATCCCGTTGGCGGCTCGGCTGGTCTTTGAGAAAGGGGTCCTTAAGGCCAGGGAGAGGGGGAGGAGGAAGGGTGAGGTCTCGGGTCCATCGACTGTGGTGAGTAAGCGGCTGTGTGGAGTAGAGGAGACGGCGGATGTCGGCGAGGCTGGGGGTGCCGTCCTGTAGAAGTTCTACCCTAGCTCCTAACCCTGTCCCTGTGTGAAGTGGCCCTGCGAGCCACCATTCCCTGACATACACCTCAATGAGGTCTTGTAAACGGAAGAGTCCGGTATTGATTGGGGTACGGCCGATGCGATGGTTGGGCGAGACGGGGTGGACAGTAGCCGAGACGGTAGAGGGGGGGATGAAAGCGACGACCTGGATAGCGAGGTGAGATATGGAGTAGTGGTCATCCGAGGGCATGAACCAATCTCTAGGGGAGGCAGAGGAGGAGTGAGGGGATCGGAGGCCAGCCCACCAGGGAGGCTTGATAGCCTTGATGAGATCTGGGAGGAGGCGTGTGGCGTCATCGTGAAATTCCTCCGGGAGTTGGGAGCATAACTCCTGAGCAGAGATAGGGCTGACGTCGAAGGTGGTGATTCGGACAATGTGTCCGATGCGGAGCTGTCCTGTAAGCAGGAATCGCTCGTGTTGGCGGGTGCCGAAAGGTCGCTCGTCGGGTTTGAGGAGCAACCGGTTGAAGGCGAGAGGTTCGGTGAGGATGCATTGCATGCGTAGGGGTGGGCCATGGATAACCAGGGGAAGAGCGAGGAGGGTTTTAAGTTCATCCAGTGCCCGAGGGGGGATGAAGGAGGGAAGATAGTCACGTTCAAGGATGGCTTTATGGGAGAGCAGACCATGTAGCCCGAAGGGGAACGGGGTCAGGGTCCTTGTGACTTCCTCGGACGGGGTGGGTCCAAATCTGCGTAGTGCACGCTGGATAGTGAGGGCTTTGATTTGGGTAGATGGGGCGATCGCACCAACCCCACCGTCTTGGGGTGAGTTGTAAAGGAGGCCATTGGGGAGGAAGCGTTGTGCGAGGCCGTCCTGTTTATGTTTTGAGGACGAGAGGAAGTTCCCAACTGATATGTCAATTCGTTTGATGATGTTCAGCGGAGCAGGTTGGAAGCGGCCGGGATAGGAGATGACGGAGTTCAGAAAGATCGATGACAGAGATTTGCGGCACGTGACAGTGGCATGTAAGGCCGCCAGGAATTTGGCGGTGTTTTGTATACGGGCGAGAGCCTTAGTCCAGGTGGTGGATCCGGGGTGTAATCGTTCAACATAAATTCCAAGGATGCGTTCTGCTTCGCTGGGGGCTCGGACGGGGATAGGCCCGGCATGCGCGAGATCAGTGGGGGGAATATTGAAGGGAATAATAGAGCACTTGTTCCAATTGGGTACCTCCCCAGACACGGAACCGAAGACGCCGAGGAGTATCACTGCGAGGCCGAGCTCTGTGTCTGAGGTGAGGAAGAGAGTGACATCGTCCGCGTAACATGCCATGAGTCGGCGCTGGACGGGAGATAGAGCGAAGCCGGGTAGGAAGAGGGACATGTATCGGTGGAAGATCTCTATGACACAGACGAAAAGAAGAGGTGCCAGAGGACAACCCTGTCGGACGCCCGTACGGACAGGGAAGGTTGGGCCGAGCATGTTGTTGACGGAGATTCGTGTGTTCGTGTCGGAGTGCATTAGTCGTACCCAATGTATGAAGGGAGCTGGAATCCCTAGGACCGCTAAGGCTTGGAGGAGAAAGGGGCGGTCGACCAGGTCGTAGGCCTTTCGAAAGTCTACCGTAAGAGCGAGGAGAGGGGTTGATGAGAATGCTGCCCAGTCCATGATGTCAAGGGTGTCGTTGATTGTGTCTCCAATTTTCCTGTGTTTGACGAAGGCGGTTTGGGACGGGTGGATGATCTGGGGAAGAACGAGCTGGAGGCGGTTAGCAAGACACAGCGCGAGTATCTTGTAATCAGCGTTCATGAGGGTGATGGGGCGAAGATTTTCTACGAGCGAGGAGTCACCCCGTTTGGGGATGAGGACGGTGCATCCGGTCAGCATAGACGGGGGTAAGCGAGAGAGAGGTTGCGGAGGGGAGAGCAGGGAATGGAAGACCGGTGCAAATCGCGGGGCGAATTGCCGAAAGAGTTCCCCGGGCAGACCGTCTGGGCCGGGGGTTTTTCCTCGGGACAGAGAGAGTAGTGCTTTTCCAATTTCAGCTAGGGAGAAGGGGGCGCCGAGGCGTAGGAGTAGGGGGTTCGGGATGGAGGAGGGAGGGATGTGTTGCCAGAAGGCCGAGTTTACGGAGGCGGGGTTGTTCCCGCTGTAAAGTGTCTGGAAGAAGTTGGAGCACATGTTCGTCGTGGTGGGGAGGTCCGACGTTGTTTATCCATTGGGTAAGGTCAGGGAGCTGATGATCGAGCCCTTGATTCGCGAGTTGAGGCCAGAGAGAAGGGAGGAGACTCCCATTTCCCTGTGCCCTTCCACTTTAAGCTTGGCCTTGAGCGCAATTTCGGAGGCTTTTGAGGCTTCATACCTGGCCAGGTGGAGTCTTGCTTGGTCAAGGCGGTTAGACTCGGCCTGGGTCAGGGGCGTATACGCAGCATGTCGTTGAAGTGAGCCGATGGTATTTTCCAGATGTGCGACTGTGCCATCGACGCGGCGCCGTTCTTGGTTGGAGAAGCGTTTGAGGTTAAGGGTGAGGTCGAGCTTCCATGAGTCCCAGGAGTCTGGGGAAGGATTGCTTGGGAAGATTGCGAGGCAGGAGTCGATGATTTGAGAGACATGAGGGCGCATAAGTAGATGCTGTCGGAGGCGCCAGGGGCGGGGGGCAACTGTGGGGTTGATGAAGCTGAGCGAGCAGAGAGGGGCGTAGAGGTGGTCCGTGATTGCCGTGCGGGTCTGGATGTACGGACTTGCAGTGAGGCGGGGTACGAAAGCTCGAGAGATGTATATTCTGTCGAGTCGGGAGGAGGTGGGGGGTGTCGCAGTATTGAGACGTTGCCTCCCGAAGAAGGAGAAGACGTTGGTCGGCGTGGGGAAGAGTTCGCGGAAGGTGTCGATCAGGGCGTGGTTTTCCATGAGTTTGGCGAATGAGGCGCCCTCACGAGCCTCGAAGTCTTTGGGAGGGCGATTCCTATCGATGGGGAGGACGACCGAGTTGAAGTCTCCTGCTAGCATGGATGCGGAGGCGGCGGTGGGGGCTTCCAGTGCCGGGACGAGTGTGGTGGTCCACCATACTCTGCGTCCGTAGAATTGTGTGGGGGCGTAAATGGCGATGAGGCGGATCTGCTCACGCAGATAGTTGAGGTGTACAGTGATTAGTCTGCCGTCTGCGGAGGGGGCTGGAGAGGACAGTGAGATAGCCCTGTTGAAAGAGAGGATAGAGACACCGCCGATGAGCGTGGGCCTCCCTGTGGCGCTCTCGGTAGAGAGAAGTGCTGGGGCGTGAGCGGAGGAGTGAGGTCGAAGTTTTAGGTCGAGGTTGGGGATTCTGTGGATGAGCCGGGTGTCAATGAGGATGACCAAGTCAGCGGGTGCAGGAAGTCTCGCCAGCCAAGACTTGAGTTCATCCATTTTGCGTGTCTCGTTGATTCCATTCACGTTGATGCATAGGATGCGGAGGTGTGTTAACATGGCGACGACGTGAAGGCCACCGCACGGGAGATCGTGCGTATCCACGGCCTAGGCACAAGTTGTCGCAGGTGAGTACAAGGGGTGAAGGTGAGGCCGGGGGCGTGCCAGGCTTGGTGGGGTTGGTGGCGCCGAGGCGACATTGGGTTGCATGTCTGCGTGTTCAGGAGGCGTACCGATAGGTACTTGAATTCAAGGGGATGTCGAAGCAATGCTTTGGAGTTTGGGGTGCGTGAAGTATATGTGCGTGCTGTTTTTTTCCGCAAGGCTGACATGAGGTGCGCTGATATATCTAAGAGCGTATTCC